GAAGAAACTTATTTACAATATTAATTATTTTAGTTCTTGATTGTACAAACTCTGGCCTGAAGACAATACTGGTGGGCTTTGTGTCCTTTCATTGAAAGGCCCTCATGCTCTGATAATGAAAATGCCTTAGTTTAAGTGGACATTAATACTTAGTTCTGAAATCTCAGGATACAATTCACAAAATAAAGTCATTTAAGTCATTTTTTCTGCTGTTGTTGTGATCCAGTAGAAGAACTCCTCCATCTTAAATCTACTTTTCCAGACAGATATAAATTACACTCACAGTAGTCCCTAATGTAAGTACACAGTATATTTAAACATGCACTTGCAAGGACATTTCACAATATTACATCCAGACTGCACAGCAGACCCCAGTGGTCACTAGGAAATCTGCCACAGTCCAGTTTCTCCAGCCCAAGTAGGTCCAAACTTCGTGGAATAAAGTGGCTCCCCCCTTCTGCTGCTGCTGCTCTGAAGAATATTCGATCAAAACGAAGTTTACAAGAACTGTGTATTCCCAGATTCGAGTTCATTTGTGTATCCCATGTATATCGGCAATGCTCGGGTTTGCCCAAAAACTCCCATACATCCAAAATGTTGTTAGGTAAACCACCAAATTTGGTAACCTGAAAAGAGACACAAAGAACACCCTAAGATTCATAGTCCGTTTTCCTCTAATTTGAAGAAGTGTCTTTGCTGTTAAGGATTTGAACTGCGTGGAGCCACTTTCATACGTTTCAAGGTAAATTAATGCAGCATAAAGACCATTGTTACAAGAAATCTGTGAAGCAGTTGTGGCAGTTACATCAGCAGCCGCAAAAACCTTGCACTTTTTGTGAAACATCTTTTATCTCGTAATGAAAATGCAGCTTATATGAGTGCAGTATGTAATATATTTGTTGATGTTAAGTACTGTCGAGTTGATTCTGACTCATAGTGAACCTATAGGGTCCCAGGGAGCAGCAGGTTAGTTTGAACTGCTGACCTTGTGATTCAAACTGACCTTGCAGTCCAAGGCACAGTGCCACACCAGGACTCCACATAATGCATACAACATACAAAATACATGTTAATCGACTGTTTATCTTATTGTAAGACTTCCATTCCAGTCAACAGTAGGTAATTAGTAGTTAGAGAGTCAAAATGTATACTGCACAAGGAGGGGGTTGGCACTCCTAAGCTCCACATTGTTCAGGGGTCAACAGTACCATGTGCAACATTTCTAATCACAACGTCAAAAATCATTTATTAACAAATACATTATGAAGATGATTTTGTTGCATGGTAATAAGTTGTTGGTTCTGACTCATAGGGACCCTGAACAGGGTTTCCACGGAGTGGCTACTGCATTTGAACTGCTGACCTTTCAGTTACTAATCCAGTGCTTATCCTACAGCACCGTACCAGGATTCCATGGTAATAAGTGGGCAATATAACACTATGAAGGTAATAAAAGATGTTTGGAAGTTTGCCATAAGTAATCCCTCACTTTGAGTGACAAATAAAACTCAGAAGGTTGGGTACATATGGCCTTAGTTACTGTTATTAATGTTGTTAGATGCCGTTGTGTTAGTTCCTATGTACAATCAGTGTACAACAGAGTAAAACACAACCCGGTCCTCTGCCCTCCTCACAGCTGTTATGTTTGAGTCCATCGTTGCAGCCACTGTGTCCATCTCACTGAGGGGCTTCCTCTGTTTCATTAACCCTCTACTTTACCAAGCATGATGTCCTTCCTTCTCCAGAGACTGATCCCTCCGAATAACATGACTATTGTTGTTGTTGTTATGTGCTGTGGAGTCAGTTCTGACTCATAGCGACCCTGTACAGGGTTTCCAAGGCTATAAATCTTTACGGGAGCAGAAAGCCTCATCTTTTTCCCACGGAACAGCTGGTAGATTCGAACTGCTGACCCTGAGGTTAGCAGTCTGATTCGTAACCACTACGCACTTTTTAAAACATGAACTGCTATTAGATAGTTGTTTTTTTTAAATGCACCCTAGTAAAAACAAGGCACAACTGCTACTCTACTAGTCTATGGATTTAAAGGTATACTACCCACCAATGTTAATCACAGGACTATTCACAACAGCAACAAGATAGAGACAGCCTAAGTGCCCATCAATGGAAGAATGGAGAAACAAATTTTGATACTTAACACACAATGGAATACTATGCTACCGTGAAGAATAACAATGAAACTGCATGCAAAACACCCAATAACATGGATGAACCTTGAGGACATTATGCTGAATGAAATTAGTCAGTCACAAAAGGCCAAATATTGCATTAAGACCATTACTGTAATAGCTCATGAAAAGATTTCCAAACTAAAAGAAAAACTATTTGATGGTTACCAGGGGTGAGAGGGAGGAGACAGTTAATTCACAAGTTAGGAGGTAGACAGATGATAGCTCTGGTAACAGGTAGGGCAATATACAAGGAGGGGGAGAATGGTAGATGAACAATGATGATAGGGGAAGACTTAGGGAGGTATGCATGGGCTAAATGGGATACAGGTAAATAGTGATGTATACACAACCTTGTAACAACACTGTTCTGTGATACAGGGATTGAGACATAGTCTAAATGGGTAAAGGAGGAGAAATAATGTTAAGGGGTTTGACTATCTTGGGGATATTGTTTTACCCTGCCTAGTAGTGTAAAATAGGCATTTGTGTGATAGAAATTAATACTGGGAATTATGATTACACAAAACTTACAAGCCCATCTTCAGCCTATAACTGATAGGATTCGCTATAAGGAGAATTCGAATTTTTCCTGGGAAATAGGCTTCTTGTTAATCCTTTGTGAAGTAGAGGAATCCTGAGCCCCACCCAGAACCTTCTGAGGTGGGACATTCCCACATGAAAAGACGTACACACCAACCTGGAATGGCTGGAAGAACAGAAGACACTTCTTTAAATAAAGACCAGCAGAAAAAAAGAAGAGTGTTTGGCTGTTAGAATATCAAGCAGGCTGTTTTTCCTGGAGCCATCGAGGCAAGAAAAGTCAGCCCATTAGGATAAACCCTGTCTAAGACTGAAACTCAAAGGGATCCCATCAGCAGTCTAGGATGCTCACTGGTGACTGCCCTGGTCTTGTGAATGGAAGTGAGAGAAATGTAGCAATGAAGACATGGGCTGAGTTTGGCCATGTCCCATAGACACCCGATGACCTTGAGAGGAGTGAGAGAAGAGGAAGAGCTGGTTCGTCTGAAGCTTAGGAAGATGTGTGAACTCTGAATCCCACAGGCAGCACTGACCTAGTCACTGGGGACTAGAGTTGAGAGTGAGGTGAGGAGAGGCATGTGAGGACTCCCAAACTTGCAGATAGTACCCAATCTGACCTAGTTTGGATGGCTAGCTGACCAGAATTTGACCAGATGAAGATAAAGAAGTTTGATACAGGGAGCAAGTGTAAATTTCTGTATTTTGATGAACTAAACCTGTGCTTATGGACACAGTTGCTCCAAATTCCAACTGTAATGGAAGGATTCTTCATATCAAGGATCAACCTCAATACACTGGGATGACAGGGATGGGCAACTTAGACAATGGCATAAAAAATGGGGGACTATAAAGGCATGAAGTGGCTGACTTACAAGCTTTCATGAGTGTGCTCAGTTTCAGAATGAGGGGATTAAAGAAAAATCCCCACTGAAAGTTTTCCTCGAGTTTTCAAGATGGATCTGGTAAAAGGGGATGAGGGGATGATGCTGATAGGCTTGTATGACTCAATTCTGAGTAACTGTTATCAGGACTAATTGTCACAGCTGTAAATTAGATGATGTGCAACAAAAAAGAGGGAGTAGTTAATATTTCATTTCAAAAACAGGACCATCAAGTGGGAAGAGCATTAACAGAGTGTGGGATCCTAACCAGAAAAGCAGTGACAGCAGAGATGGTAGCAGAGGTGATGGCCTAGAGAGACAGAGCAGTTGAGGACTCTAGGCCCATGGACTGAGAAAGGCTGGGTGCCTAGGGGAAGGAGGCTGGCTTGAAAAATGTGCCTTTTGGACATTTAAATGACTATGTATTTTTTGTTTTGTATGTGTACATCAAAAAAATGGGAATAGAGGTATAAATACTGTTAACTGATGGCACATAGATGGGATTGTAATCATTGCAATGAAATAAAACAGGATTTGTTGAATGTTAAACTGATACTTAGCCCTATAAACCTTCACTTAATCCTTTTAAGTAATTTAAAGTAAAAACTTTAAGAAATGGAACCAACTCCACAGCACATTAACTACTACTACTGCCTGTATGTTCTAATAATACTAATTCCCTCAGGGTCTTTATTTCTTCAATTTACTAACAGCATAAATTCTTTACTCTCTCATTCATGCTCCAGGGTTTTTTAAAAGTAGGGAAGTCAAACAGGTCAGTCAAAAAGCACAGCTGTTAATGTCACTGGTTAGCAAATAGTCCAATAAGAAGTCTGATATATTTTTGTAAATTTTAATTATCTGTGTACAAAGACATCAAGTTACCAAAGGAAGCAGTTTACTACCTCCTTTATCTGGAACACTGTCCTCTCTTCAGCAGTGAGTCCTGCACGCTTTCCCTGTCCATCTTCCTTCTCTCTTACTCCTAGAGCTTGTGACCAAGTGGAAACGAACAGGATCTCATTTCAATTCACTGTCTGATGTGAGCTTAGAGGGGGACAAAGGCAAGGCAGGCCTTATCATTTAGTATATTCTACATCTTCTCAATAAATCCCAACCAGTCTCAATGGAACTTCGGTGAAAGGGACAAGAAAAGGAAGGAGATTAAAGGTGAACTATAATGGTCAGACCTTTCTGTTATTCTTACCTAACAACTAGAAATACTGCAAATAATACTGCAAATAAAGTGAGCTCTTGTAGGCTTATTTTCTGGGTCTCTCTTGCTAACTCAGAATATGATGCTTTGTGTTATGTTTCATATGTGGTATTCATATGTTCCCCCCATTATATAGAAACCTCTCAGACACGTACTTCCCAGTACTGCTGTTAAGTGCTGTTGAGTCGGTGCCAACTCATAATGACACTAAATAGGGTTTCCAAGGAGCAGCTGGTGGATTTGAACGACTGACCTTACAGTTAGCAACCTAGTGCTTATCCTACAGCACCACACCAGGACTCCTCCCCAATACTTTGTTGTGGTGGTGGTTAAGTGCCATCAACTTGGTTGGTTCCAACTCACAGCAACCCTGTAGTGTTTCCATGAAACAGATGGTGGGTTTGAACCACCGACCTTACGATGAGCAGTCCAGTGCTGATCCTATAGCGCCATTCTAGGCATATAAAAAAGCCACTGTCACTGAGTTGATTGTGACTCACAGCGACCCTATACAAGTTTTCTGACAGGTGAACCTTTAAAGGAGCAGACAGCTTTATCTTTCTCCTGTGGAGCAAGTGGTGGTTTTGAACCACTGACACAGTAGTTAGCAGTCTAATACCCAGCCCACAGTGCCATTAGGCATAGACTAAAACACAAACCAAACCCATGCCATTGAGCCAATTCCGACTCATAGTGGCCCTGTATAGGGTTTATGAGACTGTAAATCTTTGTATAGAAGTTGTTGTTGTTATGTGCTGTGGAGTCGGTTCCGACTCATAGCAACCCTTATATAGGGTTTCTGAGGCTGTAAATCTTTACAAGAGCAGAAAGCCTCATCTTTCTCCCGTAGAACAGCTGGGAGTTTCGAACTGCTGACCGTGAGATTAGCAGACTGACTCGTAACCACTACGCTACCAGAGCTCCTTTGTTTAGAAGTAGACAGCCCCATATTTTCCCCACAGAGACATGAACTGTTGACCTTGTGGTTAGCGGTCCAGTGCTTATACTACAATGTCACGAAGGTTCTCCTAGGTATATACTGATGTTGTTAAGCCATTGAGTTGGTTCTGACTCACAGGAGCCCTGAATAGGGTTTCCAAGGAGCAGCTTGTAGATTTGAAGTTCCAATCTTGTGGTTTGCAGTCTGGTGCTTATCCTATAGCACCACACCAGGACTCCTACTAGGCATATGGTACAGATTAAATATTTGCTGAATTGCATTTGCAAAATCACTTTATACATTTTGAATAAACATAGTTCCTAGTTTGAATAGATTTGGTCAAAGGAATCAAAATTTGTTTCCACACCAATACTTATCACTGAACTGTGGCACTCACTTCGTGATCCCTTAAGTTTGTATCTCCTGCAAATATAACCGTAGTGGACTCTGGAGCCTCCTGCATTTCCTTTAGAACCACTTTCAACTGATTGATCCGTTCTTTAGCATGCCCTTTGGTGCTCTCCAAATGCGAAGTCATGAGGTAAAGTTCATTTCCCGACACACTCACCTACAACAGGACAGATGATTAGTCATTCAAACAGCTCACTGGCCGCTAATGTTGAGCTTTGATAATAGATAATAGGATCAGCAGACTACCTATCTACCTCAAGTGTCACCCCACTGTGAGCCCTTCCCCAGTGCCCTCACCAGGCACTAACTGGACCCCTTCTCCTATAGTACGACGGGCAGGCTGCTTGTAAAGCCCCCTGGACTGAATGACAGCACAGTTATTTCTCCCCTACAAAGATGAGTCACTTGTAAACGAAGAAGGGTCCTATTTATTACTCTGAAGCCCATGGGTGGTGCAAAGTTAAAGCAGTTAATGTGCTCAGCCACAAGCCCAAAGTCTAGAGTCCATTCAGATGATGATCTACTTTAGAAGAATCAGCCACTGAAATACCTGTGGAGCAAGTTTTACTGTGACACACCTGGGGTTCACCAGAATTCAGAACTGACTGGCAACTGGCTTTTATGTATTACTGTAGTAACAAAAATCTGCTTCATAGATACTCAAAAATGTTAGCTCCAGCCTACTTTTCCAACCTCCTTATCATCCTACACCCCTCCTTCATATTTTTCACACCCAACTAAATAAATGCTCATGCACACACATAGATACTCTGCCTTTTCCAACTTGCAAAAGCTTGTGCATACTAGTTCCTCCACCTGTACAGCCCTGCTTCTCTGTATCCTGATGTCTAAATCTTACCTATTTTTCCAGGAATTGAAACTCAAATGCCATTTCCTTCATGGAACATTTCTGGCTAAAATTCATCCACCTCTCTCTAAATGTCCACGGCACATCAGTTACACCTCTCTAGTGGTAGTTTATGTTGCTCTTTTATTTTAGTTACTAGATATGAGGGGGATTCAAAATGTGGAAAATCAGAATGAAAAGATAATGGAATTTTTCTATATATTTTTAAAGCCCCCTCACATGGAATCTTTCTTTACTAACCTGTAAATTTCATGTGAACAAGATTTATTTGAGTACCTTTTGTACCCCTCACAAAGTATAACACAGTAGTGAATACAGAGCTGGTAATAAACACATTACTTAAAGAAGCAAATGTGAAACGTTAGCAAACTCTTAGGAAGCTTTTTTTTTTTTTTTTAATGTTTTATTGTGAATTATGTGATAGTTTATATGGGAGAACATTAGCTTTACATTCATCCTATCGTATAAAGGAGCAACATAAGTACCACCAGAGAGGTGTAACTGATGTGCTGTGGACGTTTAGAGAGGGGAGGATGACTTCTAGCCAGAATTGTTCCATGAAGGTTTCCTGAAGGAAATGGCATTTGAGTTTCAATTGCCATGGTTACAATCCCCTCCATGTATCATCAACCAACCAAAGGGTATACTCTGCAAGCCTGCCTCCCGGTCCTCAGCACATAGCCCTTCTCCCTCTCTGGGTCTAGAGTCCCCAACTGCTCCATCTCTCAACGTCAACGTTTCTGCCTCCATCTCTGGCGTCACTGCTTCTCTGGGTAGGGTCTCGCACTCCACTCTTCTCCCTTGATGGTCCTAGGGACTGCCGCTCCTGGACTGCAAAGTCAACCACTCCCCTCCTTTTGCTACAAACGTCTACCTTTACATTTCCATCCCTCACAGTCAGTCCTGATAGCAACTATTCAATATTGTACCACGTACTTGAGTGCCATCCCCATATCCTTTCACCAGCCCCACCCAGACAGATTGGATACTACTCTGTGGAGATTCTACCTTCCTCTGTGCCCTCTGGATCCAGGCTCCCTCTTGAAAGCTTGTAAGCCAGTCACTTCTTGCCTTTGTAGATCCCGCATTTTGGGTAGCCAATGTCCAAGTTGCCCACCCCTGTCTACTCTGTGTATGGAGGGGGTGGGAATGATCTTTGCTGAAACGATTTATTCCCTCTTTTGAGCTACTTCATCCACTGTGTAGGTCAAGTTCATCAAATTATTCTTTTTTCCCTCTTCTTTCTTTTTGTAGTTGAGTTCTTATCATCCAGCCATTGAAGCCAGGTCAAGTGAGTATTAATCTGCAAGTGTGGATATTCTTGTGCATATGCCCTCACTTCTTATCCGCTGGACGCTTCACTCTCCACTCAAGTCCTCTGTGGCTATGTCACTGACTCTGGGCAGGAAGCTCTTAAAGGTTCCTTAAGAACTATATGTGAGGACCAAAAAGACACCACCATGGAACTATAAAATAAGTCAATTATCTTTTTAAAAAGTTACTTACATGTAAGCATAAAAGGTTTCTCATCATTTTGGTACTTGGAAAAGGAATAATCTCTTGGTTTTTTAGTTTCACTCTTGATTTCTTCAACATTATAGCTGTGAAATATCCTTCTTCATTACCTTTAAATGGTTGTGAAAAAGGATTTAGGCTGGTAAAGAAACTACACTTAGAATATTTTCAGCTTATCACAAGTTCCCCTACTAAAGATTTTTGCAACAGATACAGATATTTAAATAGACTTAAATCTTTAAAGAAAATAATTCAAGGTGGCAGTTGAGTCTGTAGATTTAATTGCCCCTCTATAAATTCAACTACATGAAAGAAATTTAAAAATAAGAATAAATTCACCTGTCGCAACAATAATTTTGGGTGCCAATATCGAACAAGAAAAATTGAGAAACTTCACAAAAACAGTAGAGGTGACACTTGAACTAAGGCAAAATGACATGCATTTACTTCTACTTACTCTAGAAGGACCACAAAAAATTTCATTAATTGAAAAATAATTTTAATGGTCTATCTATCTATCTATCTATACCTGTATCTATATACATATATATAGAGAGAGAGAGACCTCTGGTAGTATAGTAGTTATGAGTCAGGTTGCTAATCTAACAGTCAACAGTTCAAAACTACCAGTTGTCCCTTGGTAGAAAGATGAGGCTTTCTGCTCCCGTAGAGATTTACAGCCTTGGAAACCCTATACAGGGTCGCTATAAGTCGGAACCAACTCTACAGCAAATAACCACCATTTATGAATATATTGTTGTTAAGTGCCACAGAGTCAGTTCCGACTCATAGCGACCCTGGATAGGGTTTCTGAGGAGTGGCTGATGGGCTTGAACCACTGACCTTGAAGTTCAAACTGACCTTGCATTAACCCGCAGAACCACACCAGGACTCCATAAACGTACTCAGTCAAAGCAAAACATACTGAAAAATCAAAAAATGAAACATACAGGGGAAAAACCCACCAAAAAAACAAATGAGGAATAAACATAAAACTCTTTTTAAAAGCATAATTGAAATGACTGTCACGTCAAATTTTAAACAATTTTATTATACCAAAAAGCTAGTCAGTCTTTAAAATCTTGGTTAATTTGTATTTTCCTGAAAACTCACCCATTTCAGTCATTTTTTCATACTATATTTAGCTATATAGAATTTTCCTAGAATTCTTTCAATGTCTTCTTTCTGTTGTTAAGTGCCGTCAAGTCAGTTCTGACTCACAGCGACCCTGTATAGAGTTTCCAAGGAGTGGCAGGTGGGTTTGAACTGTTGACCTTATGGTTAATAGACCACTGCCAATCCTACAGTGAAATACCAAGACTCTGTATATTCTCAGGGCTAATTTTCTCAAACTTATTATTTGTGCCTTTTCTCCTCTATCCTCCATTAAGCTAACTTTTATCTCTTTAAAAAGAAAAGTTGACTTACATAAAAGTAAAATTGTTACCTGTAATAATGTCATAACTGCTTGCTCTCTTCCTTAGGTAGCTACAGTATGGAGGAATAACTTCTTGCAGAAATACCACATCTGGGTTGTACCTAATTTAAAACATCTGTTTATTATAAACACTAGGCATACCATTTCACTTTCAGCAAGCTGATGAAGCAAATTTCAGAACATAAAAGAGAGCAATACAAAACTGCGACCCTCTAGGACACCTAACTGAGCTTTGATAACTACAAATTGAGGACCTGGGCCATTTATTATAGTAGAGTTGAATTTTTAAAAAGCTGACATGACAACACTTCAAAACGGGAAGAACTGGAATCACTAACAGTAGAAACTACTACACTCAGAGTATAAAATGGTCCTGTAGTCTAACATTTTAAATGTTATTATTTCTTTTGATCTCCTCAAAACAATTATCCACAAGGAAGAAACAGCTCCACAGAGCTTACATAACTTGCCCAAACTCACAGAACCAGTACATAAATGTTTCTGGTAACTTTGTTTACATAGCAATAATTGTATCCAAAGTTAAACAAGCAAAGTAGGACTAGAGGCTTCTAACAAAACTAAGTTTACTCCTGCACCCCACGCTTAGTCCTGTATCTTGCCCTTGGAGGCATCACTTTCAATTTCTTCAGGTGTTGTTCTCAGAGCTTAACTTTGAACCCAGGTCTGACTCCACAGTCCACAATCTTGACCTGTTAGACTGCAGAAAGGCAAGACATAATTATTAGGCCACGATTAAACTGAAGTAATACTTACAAAGCTAAATAGGAACATATCCCTCGAGCCCTCTCTGGCAGATTGTTGAGATCCAATCCATCAATATTCCAGGTAATGAAAGAGAACATACTACCATCTTCTTGCTGAACATTTTCAGGCGGGCTAATTTTAGAATTAGTGGAATCAGTTGTTTCTTCTTGAGTTAGGTCAACACTGGCAAGATCAGAATGAAACACAACTGGTACATAATCTATAAACTGAATAATTTAGGAATTCTTTTGTGAGTATTTGTAGTCCTCAGGTCCCAGACACAAAGTGCCCTTACAAGTTCCTGCCTCTAGGAAAGCACAAGCCGTGTAACTGAAGAGCCTTCGTATTCTTAGTGTTATTCAGGTAGATGCTCACTTATCCACTTACATCCGCCAATTCAATGTCCTTCAATGACATGTCACTAAAATGACTGGATAAATCACAACCCCGAAATTAGACTAAGGAATGTACGTTACCCAAGTTTGACTGTATCCACTGGTATATTTCAGTAAGATCCAACAGGTGGCAGAGAAATAAATAATGGCTGCAAATTCTTTAATACTTCAAAACTGAGAAGTGAAGTCTACCTCCCATCCCCTGGAACCTGGACCTTGGTAACTTGTTTGACCCACAGAATATGGTAGAAATGATACTCTGGCACTTTCTCAGAAGCCTGGCAGTTTCCACTCAGGCCTTTTGGAACTCTCTCCTGGAACCCTACACAGTCATGTTAAGGAGACAGACTCTCCTGACAGAGTCTGCTATGAAGCAGAAGCCGCAGGAATGTGCTCCAGTTTACATCCTACCCGGTCCCACCAAGGTTCCACATATATAAGCAGAGAGACAACACATAATTAAAAGGTGACTGCTAACTACTAAATCAGCAGTTCAAACTCACCAACTACTCCTTGGAAACCCTATACAGGGTCACTCTCAGTTGGAAGCGACTCTGTGACACGTAAGAACAAGCTAAGGATTATAAACTATACATAAATTTATATCTTCAATAGGTTTGATGCTAATATTTTCATTTTGAAATTATTTTAGCTTAAACAATTGCAAAAAGAGTAAAAAGAATTCCTGCACACCCTTCTCTCAGATTCACCAGATGTTAACTTCTTACTTAGCATTGACTTGTTTTATTGTAAAATGTTTATGTAAACACTCATCAAACAAGGGCATACACACCCTATTATTATCAAGTCAGGAAATTAACACTGACATGAGGGTATTAGCTAATTAAAATTTTATTCTAATGTCACCAGTTGTAGGAACTAATGCCTTCATCCAGGATTGCATGCTGCATTCAGAAGTCGCATCTCTTTTAGTCTCGAATCCAAAAGAATTCTTGGCTTTGTCACTCAGGTCCGTGACATTTTTGAATACTACAGGCCATTTATTTTACACCCTTCAGTTTATGCTAATCGGATGTTTTCTCATGGTCAGATTCAGGTTATGCAATTTGGGGGGCAGGAACATCAAGAAATGACAGTATTTCTTCCTCAGAACACCTGATATGGATGTGTTCCCGTACTGGTAACACAACTCTGATCACTACATTAAAGATGGTGTCAGCCAGGTTCCCACCACAAAGCTGTGATTTCCCCCTTTGTGGTCTAAGTATTCTGTGGATAGGTATTTTGAGACTGTGTAGATAATTTTTCATCAAATTTTCACCTACTAGTTTCAGATAAACACACATAATAAATGTATCGGTGATTATTAATATGGTAGTTTTTCAAATTCTATTATGTGTTCTATATAGATTAATTACTCACTGCCATCTAGTTGATTCTGATTCATACCTCGTATAGGGTTGTGCTGAGGCTATAAATCTTTCCGGGAACAGACAGCCTCATCTTTCTCATGCTGAATGACTGGTGGGTTTGAACTTCAGACTTTGCGGTCAGCAGTCCAGTGCTTATCCTACAGCATCATCAGGGCTCCTTTCTAGGTACATTCCCATTACCATCAAGTCGATTCTAATTCATATCCCCCCTGTAAAGGGTTTCCACAGCTGTAAAACTTCTAATGTAATAGAAAACCTCATCTTTCTCCAAAGGAGCTGCTGATGGGTTTGAACTGCTTCCCTTACAGTTAGCAGTCCAATGCTTATCCTACAGTGGCCACTAGGGATAGCAGTTAGAATTCTACTGAAAGACAAGGCATTCTCTTCTCCCCTGAACTGCTGTATCTATATCAGTATGGACTCTTATCTTATTCCATGGATTAGAATCTGCTCCTACAATACTGTGCTTGCTTAAGTTGTCACAAACTGGAGCAGGAGTGGGAGAGTTCAGGTTGGTTCCTATGTCCTGCTGGCAGGCCCCCATTTATTCTGACACTTCTTACTTTCTAACAGGACAACACAGTCCAGGCTCCTCTTCTAGTTTACTTGGAATTAGATTGCTAGATCTTTCTTACAAGGTGCCTCCAGGTGGACTCGAACCTCCAACCTTTTGGTTACCAGCTGAGTTCATTAACTGTACCACCCAAGAACTCCAGGTTACAACAGCTGCTGTTGTTGTTGTGAGTCATTTCTGACTCACGATGATGCTATAGGACAGAGCAGAACTGTCTCATAGACTGTAATTCTTTTCTAGGCTGTCCTCTTTATGGGAACAGAATGCGAGGTCTATTCTGCTGTGGAGCATTTAACCACTGCAACACCATGGTGCCTTGGATGCAATGAATGGACACCAATTCAGGCTGGGTTAAGCAAAACAGGAATGTATAAAGACACATCAAGGCATCACAGAGGCAGCTATAGGAATGCAACCATGCTTAAGGAAAGAAAATTAGGGCTTTATTTCAATTTCCTTCCGCTCAGTCTCTTTCTATGGACCAACATTCTTGGTTTTTCATGCAAAACATGCATGAATATGAATCCCCACTGCTCCTAAATTAACATGTGATGAATCCAGCTCCCCAGGAAGATTCATACTTGACTCTCCAGGTATTAATTTCAAAATCCCAGGAGAGGGGAACTGACTGGCCAGTTGAGACTAAATGAACACCACCTAATCCAATGGGCTCTGGCTATTATAAGATGGTTGTTGTTGTTGTTAGGTGCCATCGAGTCGGTACTGACCCATAGCAACCTTATGCACAGTAGAATGAAACACTGCCCCATCCTGGACCAACCTCACTATTGTTGCCATGCTTGAGCCCACTGATGATGCCACTTTGCCAATCCATCATTATAAGATGGTAGTCAGAAATATATCACTGTGAGTGGGATGAAGAATTTCCCAACAAAAGGGACTAGACAGAGAAAAGTGAAATTATATTACCACATCAGTGCAGCCATAAGGTCAAAGATAACAACCAGCCTCCATCTGGTGGGACAGTGGTTAAAGCAATTAGCTGCCAACAAAAAGGTTGGTATTTCACACCCACCAGCTGCTCTGGAAGAGAAAAATGAGGCAGTCTGCTTCCTTAAATACTTACAGCCTTAGAAACCCTGCGTGGTCCTAGAAGGCTGCTAGGGGTTTGAATCAACACATGGCAATGGATTGGTTTTTTTTAATGAACAGTCAAGTAAACAGGCTGCTCACAAAGTTGAGGGAACTTTACACATTTAATATATTATTTGTTGTTATGTGCCATGGAGTCGGTTCCTACCCATAGCAACCCTGTGCAGGGTTTCCGAGGCTTGTAAATCTTTGGTGGTTGTGGTGGCTGTGTGCTGTGGAGTTGGTTCTGACTCATAGTGACCCTGCACAGGGTTTCCGAGGTTGTAAATCTTTACGGGAGCAGAAAGCTTCATCTTTTTCCAGCGGAATAGCTGGTAGTTTCGAACTGCTGACCTTGCGGTTCACAGCCCAATTGGTAACCACTACGCTACCAGAGCTCCTTAATACATATTTACTGAGAGCTTATTAATGTGTCAATTACAGTTAGGCTTTAAAAATATCAATCATGCATAAAACAAAGAGTCTTTATCTCTAATAAACATGTAGTCTAGTAGATTAAGGAAATATTAAACAATTATAATATGAACTAGTGGAGCGCTATGGCTCTGTAGACTAACACTAGACTGTGAACCACAATGTTGGGGTCCGAGACCTTCAGCAGCTCTGAGACCACCAACAGCTCCGTGAGGGCGAAAGGTGAGGCTTTCTGTTCCCGCAACTGTAGATATTTACTGCCTCGAAAACCCTTTACAGAATCGCTATGAGTAAGACTAGATGGCACTTAACAACATGAGTTGCACCAACTCAAGAGCACTTCAATTAAGTTATGCAGGTTGCTGAGCACCTAAGAGGAAAGCCATTAATGTTTAAACCAGGGCCTTTAAGATGAAAAATTATTTAAGAAGGAAGGAGAAAAGGTTCTAGGCAAAGTGAATACCTTTCTAAAGGTTGAAAGGCAGGAGGAAATGGCCCATTGAAGAATCCTCAAGTTTGTTGTAGGATAGGGAAAGAGAAGGTGGGAGCTGAATCTGGAAAGACAGGCAGTGGCCAAACCGCGGAGGAGCTTGTAAAACAACTGGACTTTATTTTCAAAGCTGAAGTGCGGGAATTTGGAAGGGGATAGTGGAATAACGAGAGTGCGTTTTTTGTTTTTTAAATCACTCAGGCCAGCCAGCGGCGGCGGGCAAATAAAACGATAAAGAATGACAGGCGCCTTTCTAAATTGCCATTATTCAATAGAAGATTTTGCCTCATTCACTACAAATGTTTACGTATCTCCATTAAATAGAGTCAAAAACGACATGTCAGGTTGTCCTCGGATTCCGAATCACGTTCGCAGACTCCCAATTAGGAACCTTGGGAGAGCAGCGTTAGCCCCGCAGCGGAGGAGCATCTTCCAACTACGCGGCACCTACACAAACTCTCCGCCAGCTCACTCAGCCGCAGAACTGCCCCGGGCATCGCCCGTCCGACTCCCGGCCAGCCCCACGGGCCCAGCGCACCATCGTCACCTACCAGGTTTCGGGCTCCGAGGGGCCCTGTAGGCAGCTTTCCAAGGCGCTCTCGTCCACAGGCGGCTCAAAGTAGGAGTTCAACGCTCTCTGAAAAGCAAAGGCAGAGATATTGGGCTTGTGCGCTCCAGGAGACTAGGGAAAGAGCGGGAAGTGAGAGATCGCGCAACCGTACTTCAATCTCCCAGTCGTTCTCTGTCAGGTAGCACTGAGCCACCGAAGCGTCGCAGCTCGCGATAGAGGCAAACTCCGCACACAGGAGTCGCCGCTTTTTAACCTCCGGTTCTCCCTCTTCCCCAGCCGCCTCGGGCGGGGCCCCAAGATCGCTCCCGAGCTCCATGAGTACACTGATTGCAGACCGCCCCTTTGATTGCCCGGCGGCCGACGCCTGGGTCTGCGCAGGCGCCCGCCGCCAAGGCGCTGCGTGATAAGAGTCCGGTGAGGAAACTCGCTCCGCTGCCTTAGAGCTAAAGGTGCGGCTGCGCGGCTCCTGAGATCAGCGAGGCTGTTTGGGATGGGACGGCGCATGCGTGCTGGTTCACGCCTAGCGCGGGACGTCAGTGCGCTAGCTGCGAGGCACTCTGCTGGGCGGAGAGGACTGTTTGCCCTCTGTGTCCTTGTTCCTTTGGTGAACTTTTGGGCTTTCCTCCTCTACGTAGATTCATTCCTAATCTGGATCCAGAAGCCGGGGAGAAGCCGGGAAGCGGTCCACTATGAGCGGCCTGACACAGAGCATCCGGGAGGTGCTGAAGGCCATGGCCAATGTGCGTGGCTTTGATAGAGTTTTGGAAAAGGTATTGGAGACGAAACCGCGAGCGCTAAATAAATATCTTTCTAGATTCTGCTGGAGTACGCCTGTACATCGCCCTGGTGATGTTAGTTACTATTTTAATGGATAACCTATTAAGTGCTAGGTCTGGTGCATAGATTATCTCATCTAATCCTAGATAAACTTGGTTATCTCTCGAGACGAGTTTCTCTGTGCTAGTTTCCCTGCTGATTGAGAAGTTGGCACTTCGAACCTACATAGTGGCTTCACGCGAACCCACCGGGATCTGCTCCCATAAAGACTACAGTCTGGGAAACTCCCAAGGGACAGTTCTACTCCATCACATGGTGACTCCGAGTCAGGTTGATTAGGCACTTAACAGAGCTGGAAAAGACTTTAGAGTTAGATCATTTAGCAAACAAGTACCTGCTGTTCTCCGGAGAAAAAAGTAGGACAGCCCCCATATTGGAAAGGCTCTCACAGTCCAGAACACTGTAATTTGCCTGGAGGTAGGAAAGCAAAATGCTAGGTAGAGTGTTGGGTCGAAGGTAGGAGAGTCATTTGGTTTTTGTATGTCCTAAACGCTGTGGGTTAATGCGCCAGACTGCAAAGCCGTTTCAACTGCAAGGTTAGCGGTTCAGGCTCACCAGCTGCTTCTCCGAAACCCTATACAGGGTCGCTATGGGTCAGAGTCGACTTGAAGGCACTTACCAACAACAAAGAAGTAAGCATTAACCTTTGGTGGAAGGTGGGTTGCGTCTCAGACACCAGCGCATGCTAGGTTAGAGGTGGATTCGTGTAAAGGAGCTGGGAGAAGGATTTGGTAGGGCCATTCCCTGCCACCTTTGCACACGAACTACCCCAGACTCTTAATTTCTAGTATCTAAATCATGTTCCATGTTGTTAAGTGCCATTGAGTTGGGTCCGACTCAAAGTGTGGGTTTCTAAGGAGTGACTGGTGAGCTTGAACCACAAACCTTGTGGCTCAAACGGATCTTGTAGGCCAACGTATTAGCTCACAGATTATTATCAGCTGTGCAAAACATTCATCTTAAAAACGTACAGTATTTTTTCCTAAAGGTTTTAATACATGGGTGCTTGTTTTTCTTCTGATTATGATAGAGTGCTGGGAAGTCGGGGAATGTTTGGAAGTGGAGTTAAAATATTGATCACCTACAGTTGTTTGTACGAGAATGTAGGGCTTTGTAGGTCCCCTCCTGGAACACAACTTTTGGGCTATATTTTCAAAATATAAATAATAGCTCCCTACTTCTCTCTTAAAGGAGCTCTGGTAGCGGAGTGGATTATGAGCCGAGCTGCTACCTGAAAGGTCAGCAGTATGAATCTACCAGCCACTCTGCAGGAGAAAGATGAGGCTTTTGGCTGGCGAAAAGATTGACAGCTTTGGAAACTATACAGGGAAGCTATGAGTGGGAATGATCTCACAGCATACCACCACCACCACCACCACTGCTCTCCTAAGGCGTTTTGGTGGCAC